AACGGCGTCGTTATGGAAGGTCCCTTACCAAATAATATAATGAAAACAAGACAAAATATGCCGAAACAACATGGTATACTTTAGATGCCGGAAATCAACCATGACACGATTCTGACAATGTGCTTTGTTTTGTTTTGTCTCTGAATTTTGTTTTGTTTTGTTCAAAGCCGTTTACATAGAGGTGGGAATGTTGGGGTATCCGAAATAACTGTGCTGCGAGTGTATCCTCTCATTTATTAGTTAGACCTGTTATGTTATGTGGGGAATTTTATTCATATAAGAATAAGTTAATGGTAATATTTGTAATTGGGGAAGGATATTGTAACAACTAAGTTGTGTTACTATCATGTTATTACTAATTAATCTCACCGTTAGATCGATTATGTTGATCCAACGGTTATATTTATTTCCATCTTTGTACGGTTATGATTCTCCTTATTTAAAATGAAAGCATTAAATATGAGAAATCATAACTATATAAAGGTGGAAATAAATATAAAGTATTAAATTTGAAAAATCATGATCATACAAAGATGGAAAGAAATATAACTGTTGGATCAACATAATCGATCTAACAGTGGGTGAGATTGATTAGTAGTAACATGGTAGTAACACAACTTGGTTGTTACAATATCCTTCCCCTTTGTAATTATCTATCTTAATTTCTTAATTTCTTTTTTTCTTTATCATCATTGATTCACTTTATATAGTTATAATTTTCACGTATGACATGAATCATGATTAGGGGTGAAATTGGGCCGAGTCGGCCTACAGGGGCCTACGACTCGGCCTACATCAGACCAGACCTGATCTAGTATATTTCATAAAATAGACCGGGCTTGGTCTTTGAAAAAACTTGTTTAATAAATAAGCTGTAGGCCCACTTCCACAAGGTCTGGCCTATAAGTCTACAAGTCGGTCTATATTGTACTATTTATTTTAAATAAAATAAAATAGAATAAGTATGTCTTGAAGAAAAAACAAGATATGGCCTATAAGTCTACAAGCCGACTTATATTGTACTATTTATTTTAAATAAAATAGAATAAGTATGTCTTGAAGAAAAAATAAAAGATATAAATTTAATCAATTACAATTATTTATAACTTAATTATATTCGATTATATTTTAATAGAAATCTGATTTTATTTCTTATGTATGAGGAACCAACATTTTAACATGTTAGATTATGTATATGAATATATTAAAAAGTTTTTGGGATAGGTTATACTTACTACAAGCATCATGATGTGTTTGTTGGATTCATGTAGTTATTTTAATTATATAGTATAGATTTGTTTGTTGGAACCGATGAAATATATGTTATTTAATTTGAGCATTTTGCTTTTGAAAGTGACTTAAATGCATATTGTGATGAGTTTTGTTGTAATTTATGATTCTGTTTGGATATTGAATTGTGATTTTTGATTTAGGAACATAATTTGAATATTTTATGAAGTTGATTCATGGTTCTGCTTGGAAGTTAAACATTAACAAGCTAACGGGTTAGATCAGGTCATTTGTTTTCTTATAAACGGGTCAAGTCAGACTAACAGTTAGACTCGTATTAGGCTTGGGCCAAGCCAAATTGAATTTTTTTGACATAGGCTTAGGTTTTTCGGAACAAAGTTTGGCCCAGCTCAATCCACTTTCACCCTAATCATGATCTTATTAATTAACATATGAAAGGATCCATTTTTAGTAGGTAACATGAGAATAGATCCTTTAAGTTTAAAATTTTATATAATCTGATCATATAAAAATTTTGTGTTTATTTTTTTATTAATAATAATTAGAACTCATTTATTTAATGTATCTGAAGAAAAAAATAAATACAAAAATTTCACAATGAATTTTTATTTTTATTTTGGTAGATTTCACAATGAAATTTTAACTATGCGCTGCCCGTCCTGCGTCAACATTTAAACAAGGTAGCGAAGAATTGGAGGGAACAAAACCCATCTAATGAAAGATGTACTGGGTTCAAACATTACACCTAAAAACACTATCTATAAACAACGGTTCAGGTGGTTAATGGAGTTTGATAAATATAAAATAAATATATAAATAAATATAGTATTGCAATTTGGAAGATTCCCTTTTGATATTAATCTGTAAACTAGATTATACCGTATTGAATAAAAAAGATTAACTTAGTACCCCCCAAAAAAAGAAATTTAAGAGAATTTCAAATAGTTATATTATACTTGAAGAAGCATTAATCATAATAATAATACCAGTCATAGGAAATTAGGAACAATAGGTTTTACATGACTCAAGACTCTAATTTAATTTTAATTATTTACTTAGATTATTTTAAATATATTACATTATTATTTAAATGATTTTAAAAATTATAATAGTTAACATTTTTATATATTTTTATTTAATTTAAATTGCTTTAATATTAATTCACTTGTTTTATTAATATTGAGAAATTATATGAAAGATATTATGAATCTCGAAAATCGTTTATGTTTTTTGTTATTATTATATATTTGAATTACATTGTAAGATTGTTGTAATTATTTTAAAGAAAACATGAATAATATATTATAAGCATACTATAATATATTTATTATTAATTTTGTCTTCTATCATGTATATATTATGATTTATATTTTTAAATTTTGTAATGAATTCTTGAAAACACAATAGTTAATAATGATTGGCCTTAAACTTGGTACACCATGATTGAGCTTAAATAATTGAAAGTGGAGTAAAAAAGTTAGATTATATGACAAATGACATCTTTAACATATTTTCATCAATATATTATAATTTAGACCCAAAAAAAAAAAACATAAAGTAAGTGATAAAAAAAGTTACGGGACAAAAAATTTGAGTATGCCACATGTAGGGGTGTAAATAGGATAGGCTAGACTTTGACTTAAATAAGTCAGGCCTCTGTAAAAAATACTGGGTCTGGTCTGATCTATTAGCCTGTTTAGGCACCAAATTACAAGTCTGACCTGACCTATATTTAAAAAATAAAAGTGTTGACCTAGGCCTGTTTAAGCCTATTAAACATTCAACAATTAAAAGAAAACTAAAATAATATTACTTTATTATTCAAAATTATTAAAATAATAAATTTATTTATTTTATTTAAAATAAATAATACGATATAGGCCGGCCTGTAGGCTTATAGATCCGATATGTACAAAAAAAACTTATGGCCTGTTTTCTAAATAGGTTTTTTTTTAAAAGTCTAGGCCTATTCTATTTTACTATTTGTAATAGGCCAAGTCTGACCTAATATAGGTAAGGCCGTAGGCCCATATAGGCGGCCTAACCCATTTACACCCCTAGCCACAGAGTATTTGAATTTTACCCTATTTTTATAATTTGAGTCTATGATGAAAATATTAAAATATATAAAAAGTGTCAAACAATACATTTCAAAATACATGACCAAGAGTAGAGGTATAAATAAGCTAGGTTAAGCTAGGCTTTGACATAAATAGCCTAGGTCAATGTAAAATATTTTAGGCTTAGCCTGACCTATTAGCCTTATATAGGCACAAATTATAAGTTTGGTCTGACCTATATTTAAAAACAAAAACCTTGGTTTAAGCTTATTAGCATGTTTAAACTTATTCAATAGGGGTGTTCATCAACCGATTCAAACCGCGGTGACCGAACCGAGAAATCGATAACTGAATAAACCGAAAATCAAAAAATCGAAAACCGAAAAAAAATCGCAAATTTTAATTGGATTGGATCGATTTTCGGATGGGTTGATGAAAACCGATCCAATATATTAATTCCTCCCTATCTACTTGGGTCTTTCCCCAACCATAACCCAAACATTTCTAAACTCAAGATTCATTAACTCATCAATTAAACCCAAGAAAAAACTTAGTCACATCTCATCAAAAAAAAAAATTATATTATCGTTTACTAATGCTTTTGTATTTAAAAAAAAATTACAAATCCAATATATACAAAATATTTTATTTGCACAATAATTATGAAACAAATTTTAGGATTTTCAAAAAACCGAAAATCGATCCAATCCAAACCGAAAAAAATTGGATTTGATCGGATCGGATTTGAAAAAATAATCCAAACCGAATGGATGATTACATGATCAAACCGAAAGGATTGGATCAGATGAATTTTGCTTCTAAAAGCGATTCAATCCAGACCGCGAACACCCTTATTATTCAACATTCAATAATTTAAAAAATTAAAATAAGATTACTTTATTATTTAAGGGGAAAGATCCGTTTACAAACTTTTTTTGAAATTTTTTACAAATTACATTATGTTCTCCCGGGAGAACATAGTGTAATTAGTGTTCTCCTGAGAGAACATAGTGTAGTTTGTAAGAGTTTGTAAACAAAAAAGTTTATAAATATAACCTGCCCCATTATTTAAAATTATTATAATAATAATTTTATTTATTTTATTTAAAATAAATAATATGATATAAGCTGACTTTAAGCTTATAGGACTGACATGTAAAAGAAAACCTGTGACCTGTTTTCTAAATAGATATTTTTAAAAGTCTAAGCCTGTTCTATTTGACTATATTTAATAGGCTGAGCTGAGCCTGACCTGATATAGACTAGCCCGTAAATCCCTGTAGACTGACTTAATCTATTTACACTTTTAACCAAAAGTGATATTAAAATCACTTTCAAACTTTATTTGTTAGTAAGTTTATTTCCAAGCGAATTTTTTTAACTACGTAAACAATAAATAAGTTCCTACAAAAAATAATAATAAATAAATTAAATAAAGCTTGATATTAGAAGAAAAGTTTCATTAATTATATCAAACTCATATATCCTCTCTATTATATGAAAAATATTACATTTACGAACTTTTTTGATTACAAATTCAACTATGTATTCCGGCAAATACAAATATTTGATTGTGTATTCTCCAAAATAATAATTGAGTAGACAAAAAATTTATAAATATAACCCTCCTCCTATTATATTATAAAATATTATGCGGAACATCCTATACAAAGCATTTGAATGCTGTTCTTAACGTTTTTGGAAATTAAGCTTTTTCACTGATATGGCAAAGACCAATGCAAAAACCACTGAGAATGCAACAATCCCAACTGCAACCACTCCCAGAAAATCATGCTTGAAACCAAAGTAAATTCTAACAAAGTCTTGCACTGTTGCACTTCCGTCAGTGGTTTCAATGCTATGCTTTATGTCTCCATATTGTGAAGCCACCAATCCATACAAACTCCAAGCCACAGGATTTGCCCAACTATACCACCTCCACCATATTGGGATCCTCTGTTACCCCATCACAAAATGGAAAAATAAATTAGAAACAATAAAATCAATTAACTATCAATTGTTAAGATTAATTAAAAATTAAGATTGAAAATAAAATTTCTTATTCTTAGATTGGGATCGAAAGATAGGTGAACTAAATATGAAAGGAAGTTCAAATTTACCGGTCTTGGTACCACAAATCCTGAGAAGAGATTCCATACTGAATAGAATGCAGATGAGATTACAAAGGAAATGTGTTGATTTGGGGTCAAGGCCACTGACATCATGCCATACAAGGTGAAGTACAAGAACGTGAAATACACGAAGAATATGTACCAAAAAAATTTAGCCACAGTCCACTCAAAACCAATCATTCCATAAATTATAATGCCATATACCACAGTTTGTACAAGAGCATATGGTAGCTCAATTAGAACCTGCAAGAGAATATGAACATTATTAGAAAGAAAGAATGCAGAGGTAAATTATTCACACATAATAATTAAGTAAATAAAAGGAATCATTTTATTAAGAAGATGATTTAGGATGATATAACAACAATTAGATAAAAAGACAAGTTTTGAAAAATAAGGAATAGCTTGCCTGAGCAAAAGCATATGGCAAAGCTGAATACATTCCAGCTGCTCTTTCCCTATAATAGACTGTTCTCTCAACAGCAACAACTGGCTGCACTGAAATAGCATTCTTCATGCCAATAACGAAAACAGCAGCATACATTGACCCCATAGCATTAAAAAGATCTTGTTGCTTTTCACTGCAATTATTCATGTGAAAAATTATTGTTAATTAGATTCAAACACTAGTTACACAACACCAGATTTTGAAGCCATAATGACATTTCTAGGTTTCTAGTTTGATCTTACATTTTGGATCCAAGGTTCCAAAACATGCTCCCAAGCATAAAAGCTACGGTGGTTGAATAAATAAATCTTACGGCAGTGTATAGAGGATTGCGCCAGTAAGACCAATGCTGTTTCCATAAGCAAACCATGCATTGGGTTAGAAAGGATCTTGAGTACTGTGATGGAAAATAAAGTTCTTTTGAACCAGGAGCTGGAGTACTCGCTTCTTTAATGAGTGTTTTGTTTCTCCTGAAACAAAATGTCAAAGAGCAGTTTATATTGGCAAACATTCTATACTGTGACTAACAAATTACAACAACAATGTTGTACTCTTTACCATTAAGAGCTTTCTAGCATATTATTCTCAAGTTCCTTAGTTTTATTTGACTTCAAACAATTGGAAATACCTGTATAATTTTGAATTTTTGTACACCTCCGCAAAATCAATCCCCATTTCCATTTCTTTTGCTGAATTTGTGACTTCCAACATCCATGTTGCTGGGTTATAGCCATCTTTCATCTTACTGACACCTTCGATTCCCTTCAAGATATATAGAAGTGTGCACAAGAGTGAAATTTTTACAGAAGATAATGATTTGAAGCAAAACATGAATTCAGTATTCCCTATTTTTTAAATAGCAGTTCTATTTTCTACCTCAAAGTAACTAATTAAATCGGAAGAATGATGTCCAAGTGGCCCCACATATATCTCTTCCCCTCCTTGCTTCAATAGCAATAACTGCATTTCATTGTGACAAAAAATTAGAAATTCGGTAATGGAAGAGAACAAACTAAAATTACTAGATTTCTTGATTCTGCTCATTCACCTCATCAAAAGATTCAAATATATCAATGCTAGGCTGATGGATGGTGCAGACAACTGTTCTTCCAGTGTCTACTGTGTTCCTAACTGTTCTCATAACAATAGCAGCAGCTCTTGCATCTAGCCCTGAAGTTGGCTCATCCATGAATATTATAGAAGGATTTGCCACAAGTTCAATGGCTATGGTTAACCTTTTGCATTGCTCTGTTGAGAGACCATTAACACCAGGCAATCCAACTAATGCATGCCTTACTGGATTCAGTTCCACAAGTTCCATGACTTCCTCAATGAACATCTGCAGCCATTAGTCAGTTTCAGACTTAGTAACACTCATAAAACGTGCAAGTGTTTTCTGGTCACATTCATCATTTTGTTTCCTGTTTTATTTTATGACAATAATTCCAACCATGAATGGTAAATAAAACTAGTTTGGCACTAATGTACTCAGCTACTGAGAAAATTTACTTGCAAACTTATATGTATGGATTTGTCGCAGCAACTACACCCAGGGAAGGGAAGTGCTAGAATATTCAAATAAGCCGCATTCGGACATGGATGCAACATAACTAAAATGGCTACTTCATGGGAATCTCAATTGTTCAATTTGGTTAACAGCCAATGTTAAACTAAAAACGGTAAACATGAAAGCCAAGCAAAGGCTTGGGATTCAGATACCAACCTTCCTAGTTTCAGCATTGATGTCCGGAGACAATCGGAGCCATGCTGAATAGAGCAAAGATTCATACACAGTAACATTTGGAGAGTGAATATCATTTTGTTCACAGTACCCACAAATCCTTGCAAATGTTTCTTGCTTCTTTGGATATCCAGAGATTGTGATGTTCCCACCAATATATCCTCCAGTTTTTCTACCAGCAAGTACATCCATCAGAGTTGTTTTGCCAGCACCAGTGACACCCATTAGAGCTGTGAGAACACCTGGCCTGAAAGCTCCACTGACGCCCTTCAAAAGAACCAACTTATCCCCAAGAACACTTCGGTCCTTCATTTGCTGCAAGTTCAGTGCAAGTATTTAATTAATTTAACTAAGCTAATGCTTTGAAATTTTGAATACAACCTTTTTTCAATTTATTGTTTCTACATTACCTGTGGCATTTGGACAGAATATGTTACTTCATCAAAGGTGATGGAATGTGGTTCAAAAGGGAGAACCATTCCTCTTTTCTTCAGATACTTTGTCTCTGCAGCAAGTGCTTCCTTCAAAGTGGGAAAATAGAGAGGAGTGGTGCTTCCACTTTCTCCATTTATCTCTGTGAAGTGAATCAACTATTACTCATTTAGACATTAATTCATATTTTAAGTTGCTATCAGATAAAATACCTCTATTTGAGTCATAAATTACATGCTCCAACTCACTAGCTCCTTGTTTAGTACTACCATTCTGCTCATTGCTTTGAGGTTCCTTTGATAAAACAGCTCGATGCTTCACGATTGCTGCATAATCAATTTTGTGATATTAGTACATAATCTTATATCACTGTTTTATTAAACATTTAAGGTGAAGAACTCACGATTCAAGTAAGTGAGAGCAAGGACAAAGCCAAAATTGAAAAGTAATGTGTATCCAATCAAAACCCCAACACCTATCCAGTACCAATATGACTGAGTGGAGAATCCCCGGGATTTCAAAATTTCAACTCCTAGCGGTTCCGTTGAGTTAGATAGGACCTTTCATAAGAAAATATATACATACATCAGATTATTTATATGCTAAGGAATGTATGAAAATGAGAATATAGATTAGTTAAAAAACTTACATGTCTCCAGCTCTTACCAAGGAACTCATTATTTACAATGGCATTCTCTCCATGCATCATAGGTGATAACCAGTAGCCCCATAGCCACAATTTATTTATGTTGTCTATGACCACAAAGAAAACAAAATAAAGGAGCACTGTTAGTCTAGAACTTAATGGGAGAATGACTATGATTGTTTTGTTTTGTATCCATGATACCTTTTGATAGGACATAACCACTCATAGCAAAAAGGATGGCCAATACAAACGCTCCTAATGTTAGAGCTATTCTCAATTCCCTCCCAACTGCTGCAGTAAGTCGGAATAATGAAAAAGACATCTGGTTTACTAATAAAAGAAGTAAGAATTGCCTAAAAAATCTGCAATAGGTAGACAAATGAACATAAACATTATTTAATCAATTGGATTCAAATGGAAAATGATATGGGGGGAGGGGAAAAGGATCAATTCACAAGTTTGCTGAGTATGTGTGAAACATAACTCTTTTACCTTCCAACATCTGGATCAAAACCAATGAAATAGTAGGTGAGCAATACCCAAACACCCACTTCCACAAAAGCTATGGGGATTTTTACGATCCACGCAGGAAGAGCATATGCCCATGGAGGGAAGAAGAGATTTTCCCTTTGCTTGTAGAAAACAGGAAGCCTTGAAACAACCATGGAAATCTCAGCCAACCCATTGAACATAATCACGAGAATGCCATAGAACAATGCACCAGCATATATCTCTCCGTGAGTTACTGAATCTCTGTGCTTCTGAGTCCCGACGAAAATGGTCATGGCAATAATTGCCATTACAGCAAGCTAAAAGGAGGTGAAAGCAGTCAATAATGGACTTGAATAATGTACACATAGCATTAGATGATAAGACAATAAAATGAAATGAAAATTTCCATTTTGCAAACCTACTTGACAAATTTTGAAGATGTAGACAAATGAATTGCGCTTCACAAGTAAATATTCTCTTGACAAGCAAGCTTTAAACAATTCCCATTTTCCCAATCCATACTTTTGGGTTGTCAAAGCAGCTGGGTGGCTCATTGACTTGTCAAATTCAGTGGCAAGTTCCTCCTCAAGGTTTCTTCCAACATGGAATGTCTGAAGTGCCTCAGAAAACTCTTTGGCTGTGACAAATCTATAAGGCTCATCTCTGTGTACCCAGTACTGCTCTTGATCTTTCCTCGATGTCACCTATAACATAATTATTCTCAAGTCAAAGTTATGTTGTTATTAATTACATATAAAACCTCTTTTAAAACAATGTGACTCGATTAAACAAATCATTGAAAGAATATGCAAAGACACTTACTTCTTGCAAAAAGTCTGCCACACCTTTCCTCTCAGGACATCTAAAACCCATTGATTCAAAAAAGTCAAGCACGTCTTCGCGGGGACCTTGATACACAATGTGACCATCAGAGAGTAGAACAATGTCATCAAAAAGATTGTAAGTCTCTGGTGCTGGCTGCAGGAGTGAGATGACTGTTGTTCCTTTGAGAATGTGGACATATTGCTTCAGTGAATTCACAATTTGAAATGTTGTTGAGCTATCCAAACCAGTAGATATTTCATCCATAAAAAAAACTTTAGCTGGTCCAACCAGCATCTCCCCTGTATTTGTAGGCTTATAATTATTTGTACAATCAATTTATTGAGATGATTAAACATGATACAGTTTAAGATTGAATTCATTATTGTTTTACCTGTTGTAACACGTTTCTTTTGTCCACCTGATATACCTCTTAACATTGCATTTCCTACAATAGTATCAGCGCAGACCTCTAGTCCCAGAATCTGCAAATGTGTAGCAAAGAAACTGGATACTTTAGAAAAAACTATAATAATGAGTTCATGATGAATAAAGATGATTTTGAAACTATAAATTTTACCCTTAGGGCATAATCCGTTATAATATTTGCCTTCTGGCCTTCAGTTGCTATAGCCTGAGCATTATGAGTAAAACGAACAGCCACAAAATCATCAGTCATTTCTGTTTGTATGGAAAAGAAATATATGTAATTTCAAGATAACTTAACTGCTGATGTAATAGATATTAAAAGTCACTTCTGGTTTTTGTTTTTGTTTTTGTTTTTGAAAACTAATGGAAATAACTAACAAGCAAAACAGAATCTAGGGTGAGTAACCCCCATCAAATCCCTAGTCAACAGGGATGCACAAAAATTCGGAGGACTATACAGAACATGAAAATCCCAATGAGGGTAAGAACTACCAATCGCCGCAAGTTTATCCGCCACCTGGTGTCCCATTGCCCCCCCAACCTTCCTCAGGATACTTGCAACAGATGAAGCTCAAGCTCTTCTCCCGGTTCCGCAATCCCTGGACACAATGTGAGGAGTTCCAGATTTCCCTACTCCATCTACAATCACGAAGAGCATGGGTGGTATCCTCAATCCTTTCATTGCATCGGGGACACATACTGTTATCCGTGAGATGTCTCTTTGACCTACGATCGTTGGTTAGCAAGTTGTTTCCCATGGCCAGCCACAAAAAAGTTTGAAAGCCACGATTATAAAGCTAGCAAGTAAGTAGAGGGGTGTAAATGAGCTCACTCTGAATTTTGAGTCAAATAAATTATAAAATACTTTAAGTCTAATTTAGTCTAAAATAAAAGCATTGATCTAAACCACTTAGCTTCTTTAAGTCTATTAGATATTCAATAATTAAAATAATATTAATTTATTATTTAAAATCATTAAAATAATGATTTTATTTAAAATAAATAATATGCTATAAGTCGTTCGGTAGACTTATAGATCCGGCATGTAAAAGAAAGCATGTGGTCCAAATAGACTTTTTTAAAAGCCAAAACCTATTCTATTTGACTATGTGTATTAGGCCGAGCCTGCCCTGATGTAGGCTGGGTCGTGAGCCCTTATTAAGCCGCTTGACCCATTTATACAGTGTTTTAAAATCTAGATCAGACCAGTCAGGTCGACAAGGATTTCGGTAACCCGGTGCCATCACCGGTTCTAACTTGACATTGGATCAGAATTGCATACAGCTTGGCAAAAACCCAGTAAACCGGCCTAGAATCGGGTTGAACCGGTGTCAAACACAAACAAGAGTTACCATCAGACTAATCCTACTTGTTTGTCATATTACTCTTAATTATATATATATATATATATATATATATATAGGGGCATGAACATCTTACACCGGTGCATCCAACGGTTATAATTTATTAATAATCAAAAATTAATTAATGAGTGGATCCAATGAATCTCAACCGTTAGATGCACTGAAATCAACTATTAAGATTTAGTGTAAGACTTATTATTCTTACACAGGTGTAAGTTGATCTTGTCTCATTATATAGTATTATTTAAATTCAATTTAGCCGGTTGAATTAGTGACTCATTATCCCGATCGGGTCAATAATCAGTTCGGGCTTCAAAACATTGGTGTCAAGTATTGAACAATTGGAAAATTGGAAATTCAAGTGTAATAGGTAAGTGGTGAAATCCTGTATTCATTATGAATGGATTAGTAGGAAGCATAAACGAGGAAAAGACCCACAAAGTTATTGTTTTAGGTTTTTGGCTGAAGAAGTGATATTAAGTTTGTGTTTCTTATTTAGCCCATTTATGAAGGTCTCTCATTGTTAAGGATTCAAGAATCAAGTGTGAGGGAAGTCTCACATTATTTGACAATGTTCTAAGTGAGGATCATATAATTAGAGGGATCTATAAACTAAATGCTTTTAGGATTCATAAACATCTCCTAATAACTCTAACGTTTCACAGATGCTTTTGCTTAAGGAAAAGAATATTGTTGGCAATTCAAATGTGAGGGAAGTCTCTCTAGTTGGTAATGAATTAAGTGGGGAGCATATATCAATAACAGAAGAGTAAATATTATTTTTTTGTCCTCAGCAAATTTTATGATGCCTTCTTTAGTCCCTAGTAATTAAAAAGGTTCATCGTAGTCCCTAAGAAATTCAAAATAGACTCATTTTAGTCATTTTAGAGACTAATATGAGTCTTTTTTGAATTTGTGAGGCACCACGATTTCAACTAAATGGGTCCATTTTGAATTTCTTAGGGACCACGATGAGCCTTTTTATTTGCTAGGGACTAAAACGGGCATCGTGAAATTTGCTAAGGACCAAAAAAGGTATTTACTCATAAGAGAATTCATAAACCAAATATTTTTAAGTTTTGGATCAAAACGTAGCATGGACCATTTTATTGTGATTGATGTAGCTTAATATATTAACAGTGTTCTCTCCTCCCATATGTCACCAGGGATGACAAAAATGAGCCAACCCGTCAAGTTGGCTCGTAACTCGCAAAAAATGAACCGGGTTGTATTGGCAAAATGAGCTGACAACCCGAGTCAGCCTGACCCGAGTTAGCTCGAAAAAAAAAATGATCTAACCCACGGGTCAAATGAGTTAGCTCACGGGTTATCCATGCTAAACGATGATAGCAGCTCGAAGGTGAATACCAACTAAGCACCCGCTTAAAACTTCAACAGCTCGAAAATGAATACCAACTAAGCAGCCATAAAATGATCTGCGAGACTACCATTGCGTGTTCCAGCACTTTGCTTCTTGGATTTTTTTCCACTAATATGCAGTACCTTTCCATCTGAAATCTCATTGGCTCCAATATTTTATAGCCACCTAAATTGAGGTTACAAGTTGAGCAAAAGAAATAAAATGACCGGGAGTATTGGTGAGGCACATGTAGAGCCTTTGATGTTGATGGTGTGGGCTTGGGAAATATACGGATTTTGCTACAAGGATGGGGGATTTGCACAAAAATGGCAAAGTTGTGGAAGTGTGAGCTCCTTGAGCAAAGAGAATTTTTTTTCTCATTTTTTCTAGTCAACTCTAACTCGAGTCGTTCTGTGATATGTTTTTTTTTTCGAGTCAATCCTAACCCAATTTTTTTTTCCAGATTGCAAACGGGTTGGGGTGGGTTGACCCATTTTGCCAACCCTACTTACCACCTAACACCCATGTTTTGGGAACACATGTCTCTACAAACAATCGCCTCTATGTTACCTTCATGTAAACATCAATATCTGAATCAGGCTTGATATTTGCTTCTTTTTCTCTTCTGCTCAATTCTTCTACCAAGTCTGCACAACGACAAAAGTATTACACATAGGCAAAACTTAATTAATTTTAATCCGCCTGTGTTTTCAATATTGAATTGAATGAATTATATAAACAAAAATCTTTTTTATAGACTAACCATAACGATCCCCAACACCTTGGACTCTTGCTGAAAAGGCCAAGGTTTCTCTCACAGTCATTTCTCCAACATGAAAATCATTTTGATTGATATAAGCAGCAGTTCTTTGGGGTACAAACTCATTCATCCCATGACCATTATAAGTCACCTTTCCAGAGAACTGATCAAGATGCCATATTATATATATTAGCTAGATATTCAAGACTGAAAAATAGAGCCAAAACATAAAAATATGGTTAAAAAATAAATAAATATCTTCTCTCTTTAATGTCCTAACCTTCAATTTTGGATCAAGTTTTCCAGCCAAGGCCAATAGGAGTGTGGTTTTTCCAGAACTTGGAGGACCCAAAAGCAATGTCATTCTGGAGAGGAGCTAATGGAAACATGTTATATTGGTTCCTAAGGTCCTAACTAATTATAGTCTTGTCTTCCAAGAAAATATCAATAAATAGAAGAGTAATTGAATTGCTACCTGGCAGGTTTTATTATTCCACTAACATCCTGGAGAATATTCATATGTTGTCTTCTACTTGGAAGTATATGAAGAGAGTGCAACAGGCCCTTTAACATTTAAAAAATGAAATAAAATTGGTAAGTTAGAATCTCGTTCAATAAGATCATATAGCAAGTTCTACTATATATTTATGAAAAGTTGGTACCACTTACATCCACTATATTAACCATGAAGTTAGCAAAGGTAGGCAAAGCTCTGCTTCCAACTTGAGCTTCTGCTTCGATCTTCAAGTGCTCAAATCTAACCTCTATTGTTGGAAGATCAATTCCAACTCTGATATCATCCAAGTAAGAAGAAAAAGATGAGGAGAAGCCATCAGTGCATTCCAAAAGAAGCTCAACTAAAATGAATAAGAAGAAATGAGAGTGTGATTCTCACCTGTCAATTCGATCCTTGAGTTTGAGCAAAAACCTCTCATTGTCCTCTTGGGCAATTCTGACCAATCTTTCAAGCAAATCTCTCCTTTCTTCCAACCCAAGTTTCTGAATATCGATCTCAGTGGTTTCCCCTGATCTAGATGAAGTAAACAATCCTTTTCTCAAACGTGTAATCGAAGGAAGTCTCTGAATGGAAGCCCATTGGAGAGCTTCTTCATCATCCTCTTGTTGGAAAGAGTTTGAGAAGAACTCTTCCGCGTCACTATTCCTCCAAATTGATGGACTTTCAATGCTGAAAGTAACCCTACTCTCCATGCTACCCAAAAATAAAGTTTTAATTTTTATGCAGCCCCAGCTAAAACTGAATTGAACCCAGTAACTATTTCCCACAAACAACAACAAATCTCTCGAGAGAAAGAAAAAAAAAAGTACGGAAAATCAATTGCCAATTAACTTTCTCTTAGTTTATTTCTTTTGTTCATGATTTCTGTGGTCGGAAGGATACAATTCATTAGCTTTGGCTGAATGAGAAACAATAAAAGATGTTGTCATATATATATAGAGAGAGAGAGAGTTAGGAAGATACATGCACGAGGGACTTTCATTTTAATTTAATGGTTTCAGAATTGGCGAGGATTTGAAGTACGTCACGTACTGCGCATGCTGCTGATGTTCCTCACAAATGTGGTATATGTGCAAAAGATGGCCATGAACATGCCACTCAAACATAGTATAGTTTTTCTCTTACTTAGAGTAATAGTATTAGTGAGTATTTAATATAGCTTTTTCGACAAATATAAGGGCAGGGTGATATAATTGAGTATGTCTTCTGAAAACAATAACACCAACGGTTTAGTTGACCTTATTTTTTTTCTTTTTTTTTTGGTAAAAATGGATAGACATTTGTATGTGCTGATGCAGTTTTAATATTGCCGCGTGCCATAGTTCGGTAAGATGACTTTTCATTGAATTGTTTGGGACAAGAATGATGTAGTAGTGAAATAAATAAAAAATAATAGAACGACATGCGGCAGCACCTCGTTAGTGCATGTATTCACTTGGGGATAGGTTTTGGGAAGAGTGTTGAATGAACTCTTGTGAAGTCAACGTGAACTTTTGTACCTAAGACAGTTATTCTTCAAAATCGATTTAATGTAGTTTAAGCACTACACGACCTATGTTAAAGTTGGCTATTGATCCGTGGTTGGATCACATATGGTTCCAGTGAGAATCTTCGCGAGATGTTTTGGGACAGTTTGAGGAGATTGGGTGTTGAACCCTAAGATTAATAAGGCTAAGCACTTTGAGTTTTGATGATAATAAAGCACTTAATTACTATATCAATATGATTGCACAATATGGAAGACAGTGCAATAAAATAGTGCTAGAAAACTAAGACAACATGCAAAAGTGAAGGGATTAATCAAAAAGCCAAAGTTAATCTTAAAGTCAAAGTTTTCATGTCAAACAAGGCACTACAAGGTTCAAGACTTGAAGATCAATGAAAAATACTAAAGACGGAGACTTACACTGTTAAATGTATTGTTTTGAGGTTATAGAAACTTAGAAATTGAGTATATTGAGCTATATTTACAAATGAATGCATCATAAGTCATATACTCACATATTAGGAGCATACATACTTGATTCATGCATACAAAGTCATACACACATAGAAATTTGTTAGATTGATATTAAAAACATTCATTCATATGTTAGAAATGATTATAATTCATTTAATACTGAATTGGATTGGAAATTGCATGATTCAGGGTTGTTGTAGTTGATATATCTGGAGACGAATTCTCACATATCCGAATACAATTATTGGGATGTGTCTTGTTGTATATCCAGATATGAGTCTGTTATGAAATAAAAATTTGAAATTAAGAGTCCAACGATTATAATCTTCATATATATAAGACTTCTATATGATTCGGGTTTCTAAACAGGAATTAAGAGAGAAAAATGCAAAAGCACTGAAAATTCAAGAATTAACTCTCATTTAAGTTTATTTTGCATATCTTAAGAGAAAAGCTCAATATTCTTCTTCTATTCATCTTTTTCTTTGATTTCTTTTGTAATTGTGAACGCAGAGAAGTTGCTCTACATGTGTTTTGAGTTGTTTACCTGTTGTAAATTCGTTTTGATCAATTGGAGTGATCCTATATGTGTATAAGTTGAATTTGATCAAGGTTGATCAAACATCTTGCAAAATTTCAATTGTACATGGATTTCTCATACACTGGTTGGAAGTTTTGAACTTAGTGGATCAATGACCTCAGTCTGAATGTAGCCCTGTGATGACTTGAGAGTAAACCATGATGAATCTTGGTGCTTGATCTTCCTTACCCTTATCATTTTAATTTTGCTATTGATTTCATATTTGTGATGTTATCTACTCTAATTTGAATATGTTTTTAAGTTAGTAAGGGTTTGATTTCTTGTCTACCACGTTTTCTAGAGAGAGAAAACGGGCTTGAAAAATAAGGTTTTTCGAAAAAAAAGTTAACCACAATTCATCTCCCTTTTTGTGATATTTTTAATCATTCTTGCTTAACACCGGAGAAAAGTCCTATAAGGCACTCTAATTCTTAAGTCAGTAAGTATTCAAGCAGATTAAATATTAATAGGAATATAATCATACTTGGATTAGTTCCTTTGTATATATAGTCAATGAGCGTGCTAGTTACCTAATAGTAAAATTACCTAATAGTTCACTATATATTAAATGGATATCTAATAGAAATTGGTGGATCTAAACCATCCAACAGTGAATCACATTTCAAACCAAATTGTCTTCCTTTTTTATAATTCAACTAGGGGTATATATGGAGAAAAAGGAGATGGATCTTAGTTTGCAACTTTTCATGTGGAAATTTTTTATTATATAATGTATAATTAGAAACTCATAGGATGATATCAAAAGAAACTGGAAGAAAATAAGAGTTATTTGATATGTGTTTCAAAAATAGTTTTTAAATTTCGAAAATAAAAAAAATCGTTTGATAAGGTTTGTTTTGTTAAAAAAAATTAAGATTGTAACTGTTTTTTGTTTTTAGAATCAAATTTAGAGAATATATCTGAATTATTTTTGTTTTGTGTTATGAATTTTAATTTTTGAAATAAAAAAATATTCAAAAAAAATATTTCATTAACTATTCTACGAAATAATTTTAAAAATAAAAAATCAAATACACATTAATGTTCCGACTATTGATTTGATTACATTTGATTTGATATAGTTAACGATATTAGATTTGATTTTTGGAAAGTCCAATGACCATTTGCCCAAAGTTTTTTTTTTTTTTAATTTCAATCCCATAATTTAGATTGATATTTGATAACCCCAATAGTGTATCTACCGAATGAAAGTTTTACTATTACTAGTTCACTGCATGTCTTAACATAAGATTTAAGAATTATTATTTGATATCATTTTTATTTTTATAAACTAAAATCACATTCCGTACGTAAACTTTTTATAATAGACAATTTTTTTTAGGGATTAATATTTCTTAAGTTACAGAAAATAATTTTATCTCCGACACACATAAAAAAATATATATATGAAAAGAAGAGAAAAAAAATAAAACATGGCCCCTACTAGGGGTGTAAATGGGTCAGGCAGCCTACAGCCTAGCCTACCTTAAGTCAGACTTGGCCTATCGCATATAATCAAATAAAACATATCCATGCTTATTTTTTTTTTGGATATTTACATATCCATACTTTTAAAAAAGCCTATTTAAAAAACTGGTCATAGACTTTCTTTTAGATATCGGGCCTATAAGCTACAGGCTGGTGTATATCATATTATTTATTTTAAATAAAAAATAAAATTATTGTCTTAATAATTTTAAATAATAAAGTAATATTATTTTAATTATTTTTTAATTACTGAATGTCTAATAGATTTAAACAAACATAGGCCAAGACTTTTATTTTTTAAATATAAGCCACACTAGACTTATAATGTGGGTCTATACAAGGCTAACAAACCAGGTCAAGCCTAAATTATTTTACACAGACTTGACATATTCAAGTCAAAACATAACCAAACCCAACCCTATTTATACTTAGGCCCCACATACTTTTATGTGTTTATAGGAGATAAATTTATTTTTTATAATATAAGAAATATTAATTCCGTTTTTTTAAGGAATTATTTGTAAGAACTTAAGTGTAATTAAAAAACAAAAAAAAAATTATTATATATATAATTTGATTTTGAAAAATATTTTCTGGCCCATTTACATTTGCAATTTTCAACTAAAACTTCTAATGTTTTACAGTTTGCATAGATTTAATTTCTTTGTACCGTCCAAAATTGAAACGTGTAAAAGATGTACATACACCTATATAGATATTAAAATTAAAACTTGTAAAATTTGAGTTGGAAAAAAATATAGTAAAGGCACAAGAAATATTATATATCTCAAGGATTAAAATATTACTTTTATTTAAATTATAACCTTTTTATTTGGATTGAGTCATAAATTGCTAAATTATCATGCGAGCATACCTATTAATTACAGTTTTATACTTTTATTGCTTATTCAAACTATCCATCCTTTTCCACAACATTCCTGCCGTCGATATGCAGTGTCATTCACAATGTGAACTTTGACTTGGGCGCGTGTTGGGAAAACATTTTATTTTGACGGCGAACCTTGGCAACTGTAAGGGCAAATAAATATTGAATAAATTATTTTCCAGAAAAATCTTAGAAAAGATTTTATTCTTCTTCTGTCATTACTTGAATTGAAAACTGTGATCTGTACTGCACAATTGCACATAACTAACTATGGTAATAGCTGTTTCCAAAAAAAAAAAAAACAATATTGAATTGCACTGGTCCGGTCACAACTCACAAGTAAGACTAAGTCCAGTCATATATATATCAAGGGTTTTATGTTTATCATTTGATATAATATAACTTCACTTTTCTACACACACATTAAAGAGGTGGGGTCCACATATTTTTCTTTCTCTTTCATCATTCCATTTTCTCTCTCCCTTTTAATGTGAGAATTAGAAACAACACTTACATTATGTTACATAACACTAATAAAACCCATATATCAATCTTGCAAACTTTTAATACATAATCATAAACTAATACTTTTTGAAGTCTTTCATATGCATGCTACTTTTCATGAGAATCACGCTGTCAAAGTAATAAATTAATGACCTATACAGTCCAACAAAAAAAAAAAAAATTTAATGACCTATACACCTTGCTTAGGTGGCATTCATTCTTGGTGGGCAGTAATGATCATGTCAGGTGAGCTTTCGTGCATGGGATATTTTTT